TTCCCAAATCCACACTAAGGCCGGGAGACTTAGGAGCTTTTCTTAGTACGTAGAAACAGACAGGGAAAGGCAGACACCATGGGAAAACAAAGAAGCAGAAGCCATATGAGAGAAGAGAACACAAATCCAGATATAATGGAGTCACAAATTAGTAGCTGATGGATGGTCACAAGGATGGGGAGCACGGCATAGGGAATGCAGTTAGCATTAATACATTGGCTAGGTGAAGAGTCAGCGGAGGGAGGGTGCAATTGGGGGAATCATTTTATGAACTATATAGATGTCTAACCAATGTATACTTGAAACTAAATTTTAAAAATTGCAAAAAAATAATAATACAAATTTTTTTTTAAATAAAAATAAAGATATCTTGATTCACCCTTTACCTAAGACTGCACATAATCTTGCTCGTTTTCAATAACATTGTTTGTTTATCTGTTGAGTTGGGGTGCTGAGGAGGATTATGAGGAGACAAAAGTCCCTCCAGGTCATCCTTTGGAACAACCACTGGCAGAGCAGATGGCAATGGTGATGACATAGTAGTTAGTTGTCTGGCAGTCATTAGGTGGCTTCAGGCTTTCCAACTCTCTTTAGGGAGTGAGATGCTCCTGATCCCAAAGCTGACTTCTTGCACTTTGGGTGGTGCCTGGGCTATCTGCCTCTGTAACCACAGCTGACCAATGTCCTTCTTTATAGGAATGGTAATTCCTGCAGCCAGATCCCATCTGCTCTCCAGGGCTTTTCGGTCTCTCTGAACATTTATCCAGCCCTTCTCTGCATGGATTCTTATGTGATTTGAAAGTTTAATTCTCAGCTGGGGATCTTATTGCCAGTTTCTAGGAATACAAAATGATAACACTCATGACAAATAACCCCATATCATTCCCATTTTAACAAATGCTGACCCTGAGGCTTAGAGAGATCAAATGAAATTCTTTCTACCATGAACAAGGTCTACCATTATGAATATTTTCCATTTTTTCTACCAACATGCCTAAGGCAGTTCATTTGTGGATTTGGCTTATCTCCCAAAACCCAAGCCATAGGTGAGGCTGAGTGTAAAATCAGAACAGAATCCATGGTGTTTGCTTATACTCTTTGAAAACTTAGATAAAGCAAAACACTAGATTATAAATGCTGTAGTTGAAAATTCACTGAGAAATACCCTACTGGTACCCACAATAAGCTGTTTTATGGAATCGTTTTTTCTCATGGCAGCCCTTGCCCTAGTCCCGATCTTGGCCCTTCATTCTCTACAAACTAAGCACCTGGTCATCCAGGGCTGCTCTGGCCCACTGGAACCTCTATCAGACAATTACAGTGTCTATTTTACCAGGTAGCAGAATTAAATGAAATAATGCATGTGAAATGCTTATTAGCACATGGTACTGCACAGGGAAGATTCTCAAAAATGTTTTCAATGATGATGATGATGACGATATCATTGTCACCCCACCGCCCCACTCCTACATAGACCCCTTGAGAAGGCCAGGCTATGTACGTTGTCTTCTCTGTTGAGGTTCCCACGTTTTCCTATGCTACTCCATAAAGCACAGACCCTCCACCTCAGCCTCCTCCTCCATCACAGAAATTAGGGACACCGACAGTTGCTGGGCAGTTCTCATTTTTTTTTTTTTCAGTCTCAGCCCGCCACACAGCAGTCTCTTCTCTCTCCACCTACCATGGAGGCTAATGCTGACAATGAAGAGTCAGGGAAAACTGGTTAACATTCTCACCGAATAGATTCAATATTAAAATTCACCCAAGCTTAGACAGAAACACTGATACTAGTAGAAGGCCTATCTTTTAGGTTCAAATGGTACCGAATCTTTGTGTTCAAACAATAACAAGTGACCAAATCACACAAACTCAGGTTTGATTCCTTTTACCAACCTTTATCAAGTCCTTCACTTCATGGAAGTCCTAGGTGGGGAAAAAAGACAAAACCATTAGAAAACAGGCAAGCTGCTAGTTGTACACAGTTTATGGTAGCAGTGAGAAAGAGCTGACCTGGGGGTGAGCAGGATAAAGAGGCAAGTCCAGGACAATACCATCCTCTTCTTTTCTGGCCTTCAGTTCCCCACTCAGTGTGACAAAGGTGAGAGTATTATTCACGTTCTCTGGACCAAAAAAAAAAAAAGAGTCTCATTTTATCAATCAGAAAACTGTTTGAAAAGGAATAAAGAAATAGGAAAATAAACTTCGTTAAGTGTTCGTACATATTTTAGTCACTGTTGTGTTGTCTTAGAGTCTCTGGCAGTGCTGTCCTTTGCTGCGAGGGGGCCCAAGTTTGGTTTGCTGGGGCCTAGAGTGGGGAAAATCCTCACAGGATTCTAACTTGAGAACCAAGCACATGACTGATTGGATCTGACATCACACTGCAAAGCTTCAAATCCCAGCTTCCTACTGCTTCCTAGCTATACCTTTGAGAAAATTATTTAACCTCCTTAAACCTCTATTTCCTCATCAACAAAATGGGGTAATAATTAAATCTATACCAGTTTCATTTCACTGATAAAATAGAGTAATAATTAAACCTACCTCAGGGATGGACTGTTTTCTAATGCAAATTTTTAAATTGACCTATAATAACTATAGAGTTATAAGCTCTACTAGTCTAAGATATGCCAAGGGGATGGCATACAAGTTATGAACAACAGTTCGATATGAATAAATCAGATTTATTCTAAATAAACCAAGCTATACATAAAATTTTGATTTAAAAATTGGGCCATAAATGCTGATGTAATATCCCTCCTTCCACTTACCTGACTTCAAAGTACATAACATTTTTGGTGAAAACAATGAC